TAAAAATAAAATATTGGGGACATTGGAAAAGCCATTTCAATATTCTGGACCTAAAAAGATACACTATAGCAGAGTCTCTCAACCACAGAATTCCTGACATTTTAACCCAAATAATTCTCAGGTGTGGGAGTTGTCCCAGGCATCCAGGGTGTTCAGCAGCATTCCTGGCCTCTACCCACTGCAGATTCCTCTCTCCTCTCATCCTCACCAAGATGCAGACACTGCCATGGGTCCTCTGTGGAGCAAAAATACCCACATTGAGAAACACTGCCTGAGATGGCCATTCGGCTTGCTCCTTGCTGGAAGTCTCCTCTGATTAGTTTTAGAAGCTATAAAGCCTGAGGGTTAATGCTGAAAGACTCACAGGTAAATCACTGTGGTATGCAAAGGGCCCATCAATATTTGCAGGATTCCTCAGGCAAAAATGACAGAAAAATGAAGAAAATGAAAAATAAGACTCTGAGTCTTCAGAGAGAACTTTAGGACATGCAGCGCAGATATGAAGCTTTTGAGCGTCCAAGCAGACAGAACAATCATTAAAAAACTAATAATAATAATCGCTATACTTTTGACAGTTCCATCTTCGGTTAAAATAATTGGAGTGCTGCAGAAGTGTGCATAATTGTTTTACAGCTTTAAATGAACTTACAGCACAAACAAACCATATTTTCTGTTTAACAAAAAAACCTAGTGTTTTCTCTTCATTTCATAAGAAACACAAGGACATCTTCATGTTTTTCTAAACAGTGTACTATGGTCTAACAATACTACCATCTCATAAAAGGCAACAAATTACCTTACCCACACCTTTGTTATCTTTTTAAATAGAGCATCTTCTCTATATCTGTCATTTTACTAACAAAAACTCCTTAGTATGTGATTTCACCCTACTTTTGAATTAAAATTATTTATGCTCATGCTAATGACTGCAAGATCCTGACATCTCTTGAATTAAAAAGAGTAACTAAAAAGATTCAATGTTATTTTAAATTTACCGTTCTTTGAAAATCAGTAGTTCATCCATATAGAAAAGCCATCTATTAATCAAAATGGTTCATGAACACCATTCCCTACCTGGCACACACTAAGTTTTCCACAAATCTTGAAAAATCATCATTATCTGCAACCATGCCAGGAAATAGTTTTATTCTAAATTATTAGGATGAGCAAATAATAGGCACAAAGAATGGAGGAGACTGTCACACAGTACATTTAACCTGAGTTCTCTTTCATGAGCATCCTTTACATCAATACTGAAAACTAAGTCAGTGTATTTTTTTTTTTTTATCAGTACCAGGGATCAAACTCATGACTGCCTGCTTGCAAGGCAGGCACTTATACCGCTGAGCTAAATCCCCAGCCCATCAGTGTAATTTTAACATCTACATCTCTCCATGTGTTCAAAGATCCCCACTGAGTGACCTTACCCAGCCCTCTTCCATGGTCAGCTAGCTTCAAACCTCTTCTTCATGAGTGCAGGGACTATGGCTGCCACTAGTCAGGAACGGAAGGTAAGTGCTGTGCAGAGCTGCCAAGTCCTCAGGCTGCATTCAACCAAGAGAATGTCCCTACCTCCTGAGCCTTCACAAAACAAGCCACATGGTCCTGTCCGCAGAATCTGCTCTGGAAGCAGCCACTACTTTACAAGCAGTTCCTTCCAGAGTTTTCCTGGAAAAGCACTGGACTAAAAATTCAGCCTCCAAAATTCTAATCTCAGTTCTTTTTTCTCTTTTCTTCCTTTGTTCTCCTCCCCGCCCCCAAACCCTAATAGTGAGTAGGATTGAACCCAGCGTCTTTCCACTGAACTACATCTCCAGCCCTTTTTTAACTGTTCTGTTTTGACACAGGGTCTCACTAAGTCACCAAGCGGGCCAGACTGGGGTTGAACTTTTACTCCTCCTGCCTGAGCCTCCCATGGTACTGGGGAGCAAGCATTCCTTCTATATCACAGTACATTCAACCCACCCTGATCTCCTAGAAAGGGGAACTCAGAGATACTTGCCAGATTTAAAATTCCTCAAGTCTCTGAGTCTTTCCCCAGAATTCATGATTAGGTTTATGTTAAGAGAGAGCACACAGATGCCCTCTGGACTGACTGAATGGAACAAAACCGACCAAATTAAAATGGCAACAGTAAAACTGAAAGTTATTTTTAATTTTTTCAAAAAAATATCAAATAGATGGGGAAGCAAAGTTAGTTTCATGCCAGAGATCACTGACTAGGCTGCTACAAACCACAGCTCCACAGGATGACTTAAACCCACATCTGTAGGTCAGAACTGCCTTGACTTCTGGCATGGGCTTGTTAAAGTAACATTTCTAACCAAGTAAGTATGACGTGATTAATGAGACCAAGTCACTTTCCACTCCCACTATGGACACTGTTCCCTGCCCTCCACCCCCAACCCTGAATCTTCCTAAAGAAAGACAAATTACATTGCATAATCTCCCAATCAGTTATGATTGTCTTCAGGACTTAACGGCATCTTGCTAATCTTGGCTGATTTATAGCTAACAGCTGATAAACATACATGTGTATACAAACAAATTAGTCTATTATCTACACATTCTATCTCCCACCCACAGCCCTCCATAAAAACATAACACTAGGTCATTTATTATGTATGATAATATCTCCACTTGTCTATAAAGAAATAGAGCCAGGGTGAAAAGCTCCCAAAGAGAAAGAAAGGATAAGAGAAAAATGTACTTATGCAAATTCTATAGAAATCTATAAAGCTACAACCTTAGAATTTTATTATTAAGCTAAGCTTCTTACTCCAGAAATCCCCAAAACCCTCCAACTGGGTTGCTAATTGAGCTACAAAGTGCCAAAAAGACTTCCCTCTCTCTCTCATCCATCACAGGCAGTGTAGAATCCCTTGCTCGATATGATAACATGACTTTTGTCAATGCATGTTCAAATCAGATAGAGGATTGGTTGGTGATGATGTCATTCCCATGGGTTAATCCCCAGTGAATGCAGTTTTAATATCATATGCATCCACACATCATTTACATAACGAAGTATTATATTAAGTATAACAATAAATGAGTGGTGGAGATAAAAGCAGCTATTAGGGAAAGGCTATGTGCCACTGAAAAGTAGGTGGGGAACAAAGGGAAGGATCACTTTCCTTTTAACTAAACAGAACTAGGTCATCAAACAATGCACATCTCTAAAAAGATCACAAAATGAATATTGCAATTCAAGTGACCTAGAGCAATCTAAGGCTAGAAATATGAGAAAAATTGCTTACAATGAAGAGTATGCAATATAATTACAGGTGCTTTTGGTGAGTGGAAGGAAAAAGCCATTCAAAAACAGATACACTGGCAGCCTCTGCTTTTCTGAGAAGGGCAACTTTCTTATCTCTAGCAGGGAAAAACTGGCCACGTCAAGCCACGACTTAAAGTCTTACAATAAATTTTAAAGCACCAGAGGGTAGTTAGATGATACTGAGAGAAGACAGCAAGAACAATGAGAGAGAATAATTTAGAAAGAACACCTTGAAATACAGCTTTCGCCTTTAAGAATACTGATCAATGAAGAAAGATTTCTGCATAAATAAGGGCTATTAACTCACGTGGTCATTTTGGGAGGACATAAGTCATCATTAGTCATAATATTTCTGAAAACTGCTCTCACACGGCCTTATTAAGGTCTGCATTTCCAATCCAAAGGAAGTGTTGGGCTGGCACACTTATTTATGACCATAAACTTAGCAGAAATGCTTCTCACCATAAAAACCACAGTGAACTGTTGAAGAATTCTTCACATCATTCGTCTCAAATGACTGAGTGGAAAACAGTAATTGTACAGCCAAACGGATGTTCTAAAAAATCTTAGCCTTTTTAAAAAGTTCAAAATCTGCTAGAAAGCTTAGTCAATAATGTGTGTAAGTGTGGGGTTTTTATCTGGTGGGGTGCGGGGGGGGGGGCCTCCAGTTGCTGTTAGCAATCCCTGTGCCAAGGATAGCAGAGAAAGAACCAGAGTAAGGCTTAGAAAGCAACTGTCCCCACACTCAGGATCGCCTGTCACATCACATCAACTTCACAGTCTGTCTTGGAGGGAAAGCCACTGAAAAGTTAAAAAAAGAAAGAGTTTCAGGATAAGCATGCTTCCTCAGAGGAACTTTCAATCCGGGTGGAGGGAGGAGCACATGCAAAGATCTCAGAAGGGTAAAATACACAAGCGTCCCTGCGTCCAGCCTGGGCTGCCTGCCAAGTGCGGGGTAACAAGCTTCCTATCACCAATCCTCCTCAAGTTGAGTGAGCCCTTGTTTAAAGATGCCTTCCCTTCCACGAGGACCACCAGAGCACATGAGGAAAGGAAAAAGAGGCAAAGAATGATAGAGACGCTGCCTGGGTGGGCAAATCCAGGATCCCTCGCGCGGGAAGAGGTAGAACTTCATGCCCCATCTAGTGTCTCCCTGCACCGGGAGCCTGGCGCTTCCCATGGAAAGCGCTTCCCGAGCGCTCGCTGCGCTCTAATGCAAGACGCCGCAACCAGGTGGCTCAGATGGGCGACTGACCCGCTTCCTCCTGCTGGCTCCTATAAGAGTCCCCGCTAAGCCTCAAGAGATAAAGCCCCCGAGACCAGCTTGTCCACAACCAGCGCACAGGGAGACTCCGCCCCGCGTTTCCACCTCCCAGTTCATCAAGTGGCCATCCCCGCACCGTGCAGCGCCCCAGGGGACCTGCACCTCGAAATTAGAAGAGGCTGCTGCCCCACCCCTGCCACACAGCCTTACTTCGGAGAGCCGCTTCCAACTTCGGGGTACAAGCCGACCACAACACAGGAGGAACCCTGCTCCCCAAGACTCCAGGATGGGCGGGCTCGCTCCGAGCCAAGTTGCACGGTACCAGCTCGAAAGGCAGCTGGTGCCCAAGGGACAGTGTCGCTCTCAGGGTCCAGGGCCACTCCCATCCCATCAGCCCGCCCCCTTTTCTCCCCTTCCAGTCCTTCTCACTGCCTGGAGCCGGCGGCCAAGTCAGACCTGCGCGTCCAGGGCTGGGCGCCGATCGCACACCGGAGATGGAGGGCGCTCAACGCGCCGCCTGTCCGCAAGTGCCCGGGGAATGAGCCATCGCCCCCGCCGCCAAGCCAAGGAAGAGAAAGTTCCTGCGTCTCCCCAGAGAGAGGCCCGAGCTGAAGCAGGAGAAACAGCGTCTGCGAGGGGCTGCGCCTGCCGGACGCCCCCGCGTCTGCAGTGAGCTGCTAGCCCAGCCGTGCGCCCCGTCCCGATGGCAACCCGCTAGCAAGCAGCTGGAGCCCCGCGAGCACGCCAGCCAGGGGGGTCGGCTGGGCTCGGGCCGCGCTGATTGGCCTGGCCGGCCGCTGCCCGCGCCCAGCGAAGCCCGCAGTCCACGTGGGCCGCCGGCTCCTTCCCGCACCCCGCTCCGCCTCTCACCCCCGCCCCTCCGGCCGCGCGCCTCTGCCGAGCGCCTCGCCGTGGCCACCGATCCGCAGGTGACCGGGACAGGTGCTGTTTTTCTGAAGACTTCGGGCGCGTCTTGAACCCTGCATTAGGGAGAGGAATTTAGGGTTCAGCTCCAAATTGGCAGCATTCTCTCGCCTCAGACCCAAAGCACCCTGCGCCTCGCGTGAGCAGTACTCTGGCTTTGTGTGTACCTTGCTTGCGTGAGATAGGGGAGAACTGGGCACGCACGTCAATAACAAAAATGCATGGCTTCATTAAAAAACGCTAATGCAACTAAGATTCTTTGACCCCTTCTCACAGCACCACTCAGCTACACAAAGTCTGCTTCCCCTCTTCTGAAAGGGAAGTTAACGCTGATGACTCTTAGGTATTCTGTTTACAGAGATGACTTTACCTGATCTTTTATTTTACAAATGAGAAAACCAAAGCACAGAGAAGTCCAATAACTTACCAAGGGTTGCTAAGTTAATTAGGGGGAAAGTTTCTGTATGAACAGGGAACCTATGGTTGCTCTTCAGTGTTCAAAGCCTGGGCAAGCAGAGACATCCCTGAGACCATGTGAGAATTTCAAACTTTCAGTCCTCAGAACCTAAATCCTCATTCAAACCAGATCCCCAAATGGTCAGAACCCGCACAAAGGTTGACAAACATTGCTCTGTATCACTGTCCTCTCCACCGTCTTAGGTTTGGCCTGTAAACTTCAGAGGCTGTTGCTCTGTTGACATAGAATCATGCGCCATCCTGCCCCGTGATCGCTCCCATGTATATTTGCCTTTTTCCGCTCCTATTGCTTGAATTAAATTAATTCAAATTAATTTGAGGGCTGTGGAGTTAGCTCAGCGGCACGGTGGCTCTCTGGCAAGCATGAGGTCCTGAGTTCAACTTTCCATGCCAAAAAAAAACAAAAACAAAACAAAAAAAAAAAACCCAGCTATGTAAATTAACTTGTGGAACCTCTGTTCTTCCAAGCCCTTGAGCCCCTATACACATGCCATATTATCTTACTAATTCTTAGACATTTTTGGTCTTTTTATTGAAATTAGGGCTCTGCAATCAAAGACAGTCCTATTATTAAGTCATCACCAGTCTAAGAGGAAATTCAAGCATCAGAGACCGTGACTCCATCTCTGATACACTCTAAAAGACTAAATACTGAGATCCCATAAAAGACAAGAGGAGATCCCAAACAAACTTGAAATTAACGCCAGGACATTGCAGATGGTTCCTCATTTACTTAACAAAATTCAAGGCCTACTGTGCGTCAGGCATGGTAACAGGTGCTAGTATAGCCAGAAGTAAACAACAGTAAAAATTCTTTCCAATGGGGAATTCTTCCAGCAGTTACCATGATAAGCAAATCACGGATGGTAGCAGAAGGTAGTGATACCAAAAAAAAAAAAAAAAAGCGATTCCCCTTTTAGGTATCTTTCCTAAAGTTATAAACATCATACCACAGCAATGTGTGCATACCTGTGTTTATAGCAGTATAATTCATAACAGCTAAATCTTGGACACAGCTTGTATGGCACCAACAGATGAATGGATTAAGAAAATATAGTATTTGGGGCTGGGGATTTAGCTGAGTGGCATAAGCGCCTGCGCCTTCCTTGCAAGCAGGCGGTCGTAAGTTCAATCCCTGGTACCGATAAAAACCGAAAAAGACAAAAAAAAAAAAAAAAAGAAAATATAGTATTTATAACTGACAGAGTACTACTCTGCCATAAAGAAAGATGAACTTGAGGCATTTATAGGAAAATGGATGCACCGTGAGACATTAATGTTTAGTGAAATAAATCAGATACACAAGCTTGAATAGTGCATGGTTTCCTTTTATGAAAAAGTTAATAAGAAAAAAAAGTTACTGTATTTTAAGTATGTTTCTGCTGTCAGTTTCTAGTTTCACTCCAATGTGGTGTGAGAGATCATGTTGCAGGATTTCCATTTCTTTGGATATGTTCTTTATTGTTGCTTGGAGCATGGTCTAATTTGAATTTTTAAAACTGCCACAATACTACAGGCAACCTGTTTGGGACTCCTCCTGTCTCTCAGGAGCTATGTCTCTTCTCCAATAAATTTTCCTACTCAAAAAAAAAACATCAGAATAGGAAAATTTATGAACATAGAGAGTAGCTCATTGGTTACCTAGATGGAAAGAGGGGGCAGCAGTTAGGAGACGGTAGCTACTGGGTAGGGGGTGTTTTGTTTTAGGATAACAAAAATCATCTAAATTTGATTGTGGCCATGGTTGTACAACTTTATTCAATGTGCTAAAAGCTACTGAATCTTATACTTTAAGCTTGAAAATTGTGCAGCAAATTTTAGTTCAGTAAAGCTGTTATTTTAATTTTCTAAACAATGAAGACATTCTGGCTTAAGGAACTAAGGTCCGCTGCAATATGCAGCTGAATTCAGAAAGCCCACACTTCTCCCACACCTGATCAAGATGTCTACCGAAGCAGGTGTGCCCTATATATCCGCAACATGTGCGACGACTTTCACAGTGAAGCGGTTGCAGATCTAGGTGGAGTGCTTGCAATCTTATAAGTAGGGTTGTGTGCTGCATTTAACATAGATGAAAATGCATTGGAAACAGTTAATGAGAATGTGGGAGAGTGTGAGTTAGCAAAGGCTGATGTCATTCATTGTGACGTGTGCTTAGTAAATGTAATCATAGTGAGTAATTGTTCACTAAAATATGCAAACATTAAAATAAGCATGTCAAAATATTTTTAAAAGAAAGAAAAAAAATGTGGAGAACAGGAGATGGGTATTGGGAAAGCTGTGACTTTAGCACCAGTTCCCACTGAGAATAGTTCCCTCTTAGACGGTAACATTTGAGCAAAGACTAGGAAGAGGTAGGGGGCGAGTCACTTACAACAAGTCTGTATTACTGATTCCACTGGCATTGGACTATGTGTATATGTAAGCCCTTGTTTTCTTATCTTCTGAGTTTTCCTGGACTGATGTTTTCTCATCTTGGCAAAGAAAAAATGTTAAGCAACTTTGCCTATCTCAGTCTAATATCCTATTCTCCCATTCTGGATTTGCAGTATTGTCAAGGGTTCAACTGTGTCCCCCTAAAGCTCATATGTTGAAGATCTAAGCCCCAGGAGCACAGAATGTGAGCGTATTTGGATCCAGGGTCTGAACAGAGGTAATCAAGTTAAAATGAAGTCATTAGGATGGGCCCTAATCCAATATGAGTGGGGGAAATCAGGAGTCAAATATGCACACAGGAAGAACATTGAACATTAAGGAACAAATCCTAGTGATGTGTCTTAAGCCCCAGGACATTGAGGAAGACCCACAAATCTTAAAACAGGTTCCTTCTCACAGGTTTCAGAAGGAATCAGCCCTGCCAACCCCTTAATCTTGGATGTCTTCCCTTCAGAACTGGGAGATTGTAATTTGCCATTGTATAAGCCTCCCAGTCTGTGGTTCTGTGTTATAGCCCCTGAAAACTCATACAAGTATACTTGCACAATAAGATGAGACACATAGGAATACAGTGATACATTTCCAATGACCTGATGTCTTTCCTGCAACAGCAAGAAGCCAGAATGACCTGACGGCCAAATTATTTAGTTTCTTATGTAAGAATCAGTGCAGGTCACACTAACGAGTTTTGCATGCACACACATTCACCGAAGAGCCCTTGACATGCCTCGTATTTGTATGTAGTAGCACCACGTGACTTGGATATTGTGCTTATTTTCCTCACTTATGTAACATCCATAACTACTGGGCACGCGCTGGTGTTTAACCAATACAATGATGATTGTGCCTCTGAGGGAATATTCTGGCTCTCCTAGGCCTACTTATTAATCTTACTGGATCAAGCTTCAGTTTTAAAATTTTGCAATGTTCATGCACTTTGAGTGTAATTTTTCCTTTAGCAGGCTAGTAAGAATAACTAACATGATTTGGAAACTCATGTGTCACCTTCTATTCCAAACACTTCATGTGAATTATCATGGGCATAACCCTATAGAATAAATTCCCTCATTATCACCTCCAGTCTTCAGATGAGAAAATTGAGGCTCAGAAGATGTTAATAATATATGCATGATCTAAACCACTATTAAATAGCTAACATGCCTTGAGCCAGTTTCTTTGACGGCAAAGATAGTGGCAGGGTGGGTGGACAGAAAGAAAGCAAGCACGGAGAATACAGAAGGCATTTGTCTACTGTTTTGTATTTGTCTGAAAATTTCAAAGAGCCACTTTCTTACTTTTTGTTATTTACCCCAGCCCTCAAGCTTCCAAGACCAAGCACTTTTCTAGCTGGATCTTTGCTGTGCTTTCTCTTGCTTCAAACTGGGACTTGTGTGGATTTTGATAAATGAAACAACCAATATACTTTTGTTTTTAGCCTATGTGTTCTTCAGCATCTTCTAAGGAAGGGCAAGTCAAGCTTCTTAGAAGTCAGCCTATTTTGCCATACATCTGTATCTCATACATTGACAGCTTCCCTTACCCGAATAGGAGGGAACAAATAGCACCCCCTCATCTGTGAGCCTTGTAAGCAGCATGCAGTGCCAGCGCTGTCCCTCTTTACCCAGAGACTAATAGATCCTCCTGCCTGAGATTGAACATCTAAAATCAGCTTCAGCTGGCCTCTGCAACTCACTTTCTATTCTCGTGGCTTCCCCACAGCGCTGGTCAGGGAGAAAGCCCGTGAGCTTGCAACGGTGAGAAGATGAGAGGCTGCTCTTGTTGGATCCTGGATTCCCCCACCTTTCTCAGGAAGTGGGTGGCCATTTCATATGTTAAGTGACTTCCTGCCGTGGATGACTTGATCAGGCTTGTTTTAGACTTCTGGAACTCAGACAAGGTGTCTGGCAGTTTGGAAAGCTCAGGTGGG